TGTGTGTGTGTGTGTGTGTGTATATATATATATATATATATATATATATATATATATATATATATATATATGTGTATATATATATATATATGTATATATATATATATGTATGTATGTATGTATGTATATATATGTATATATATAGGTATGGCCAGAATATAGAAGAAATGGCCAACTCTATCAGTACGCGCGCTATGTACAATCTAGAATAATTCTCGCATTTTAACACACACTCCAGGGATACGAAGAAAGCCAATAACCTGCTGGTGTCTGGTGGCATAGTATCTCTTCTAATCCACGACGGGGATGCCGACACAGTCACAGTGAACCCGGTTGAACAAGAGAGCGCACAAGCCAAGTGCACCTGCAGCATCACTTTGGTTGGCGAAGCTAGTGTGGAATCGGGTGAACGAGCGGAGAGGTATAGAGCCAAACATTTAGAAAACAATCCGAAGGGTGCTGTATTTATCAATGGTGATAACATCGCCATTGTAACGGTGAAGGTCTTGGAGGCTTCAATCTGGTGAGTTCTCGTGGCTTACTGATTCGTGGGCGAGCAGAAGTTGATACAAGTTTTTGTGTAGCGTCAGTTCGTAATACCAGAGACATATTAATATTCTGTCTTCTTAATCTGTACTCCGCGACTGGTTTCATTGCTTGATACTACAATGTGGCTCAGTGAAAATCTTAACTTCACAACCACTCAGTAATTCGAAAGACAAGGTAAAACGATGGACAGCTTCGAGCGGAACCACGGAATACAAATGAACATAGGGGCTCTATGCGGGCACTCGCTTTCATCTCGAATCGAGTATGTAGATGGGCCGGGCATACCCCACAGCTCCACGATATCGTTTTCCCCATTCACCGAATCCGAGTCGTTCCGGCTTATATATTTCGTCCCTCCATCAAATACAAGTTGATACAGACCAGGCCCTTTCTGGAGGCGCCACTAATGCATAGAACGGAACACCATTGTCTACTGATTTTTCCTCCCTTTTACGCATGCAATTATAGTACTATAATGAATATTGATATTAATGGACGTGAGGCTAAAACCCTATTAAAAAAACCCCTAACCACAATGGATTATGTTTTGTACTCACTAATGGATCGCATATCATTGCGAGAAGTGACAACGGTGGTGTCGCTTCAGTTGAATAGGTTCTCCGTGCACCAGTAAGCGCGTGATTATTGGAATAAACCTTACATAAGGTACAGGTGAATTTAGACTAGACTTTGGCTGTTACAAATCATAATTTACTGAGTACGACGGGTTCTACTATACAGAGTGCGACTGGGCTTCAAATTTATTTACTAACTTTGTTTTTAATGGCATATACAAGTATATCACTACTTGATTGATAGTGTAATGTATACGATGGAGATCATTCAGATAGAAGCAGTATTTCTACTCTTGCTCGAGTTCTCGTGCAAATCCCCAGACCGCGACTGATTGAAGTTTTCCGACCTCGCATCGTCTGTTCGGGGCTTCTCGTTGTATCGTACTGACATGTCGAATGGCTGATAGTAGAATGTATACTTGATATACAACGTCACATAAGCAACTAACCATAATCCTACGCACACACCGTAGGCTATGAACAAGCCTGTACTTGCGAATGCCAGGTCCAGGCCTAATTTGCAATTAATCATGGCCAGTACCATTCCTATATACCCCACACCCTTATGGTAGAATTCCCATACACTTTTAGGCGCATCGTTATGCTGCTTATACGTTGTCACTCGCCTCGGGCGTAGCAGCGCATTAAACGGCTGAATCCAACCGATTATCATCACGCATAGGCCTAAAATATGGTGTTTATCGGTGAAATTGATTTGCGACACCAGTAAAAAGGAGACCCCGAATCCTACAGTTGAAGCCATTAAGCCAAGTATATTCATAGTGACATGACTATGGAACCACCACAAACCCGTATCATCTTTAAAATGAGTGAATATAGGTCTGAATGCCGATGAGAAGATAGCAATCGGTGTTAGTAACAGCCAGGCTAGAGCCATCAGAATGCCATGGGCCAATAGAGCTTTCCTATAGGTTGTATTTTCGGTCAGGGTTCCCTCACAAGTGACCAGATTCACCGTCACTGACCCCCTGTTTGTGCCATGGTACCCAAATTCCCCCGCTCCATAGGCGAACACCATGTACGTCTCCGCACCTGACTCCAGGCCTGGGACTGTTCGCTGAGAAACCGTAAAGGACAATGTTGTCTCGGCTTTGTCCTCGACCTGAGTGAAAGCGCCGTATGTCACAGTGTCAAAAGTGGCTGGATTCACCCCGGCCCCGTTTCTTGATGTGGTTTCATACGCTTGAACAGTGTTAGGTTCCGCTGTGCCTATAATAACCTGTGCATGTGTTCAAGAGTTCGTAGTTTGCCCATGTGAGTGCAGATTAACATTGTTAAAGTGTCTGATGGAACGAATGTATTGATGACTTGAATCGTTGGTGTTGGCCAGTGCTTCATAAATCTTCATCTTTATATACAGCGGAAATTCAATGCACACACTGCACTTAAACAAATCTGAGGAATGCAACCATGCTACTACGTCCGTGAGAAAAAGTTACTATTCAGATGAAAATTATACGTTCCAATACAAATAGAACTATAATCACGCCAAATCACGAATAGTAGAACATTAAACTTGCTGCTAGATGCCAGTATTTTATAGTATACATCCATGGAAGTTAGATCGTTGAATAAAACTGTACACCTACAATTGATATTATTCACTGAAGCTGTTTGATATATATTTATCACACTGACGGCAGCAAGAAATGAAGTCAAGCTAGCCTAGTTTGAGGAACTTGCCAAATTTTCTTCAGTTTTGGTCTAGAACTAGACATTACCTTGGCAGGGATCATGGATCCGGGAACTTCTGCAAAACCCACGCCAAGCCAGCCCACCGTCTGATCTATTGTCGCCAAAACATCAATTGAAGGACCATTTAGATTGAAGGCTACAGTCAACCCCGGGGCAAGTGTCAGTTGCCGTGCATAACTTGAATTTGAACTCACACAGTATTCTGACGAGTTAGTTTGTGCTGCTACTGTACTCGTTAGCATCAATAGCGAAATGAGCACGCTAAAAATCGGGCACAACTTTGAGACAGCCATTCTAGCATTCGGCTGATTCAAGTTATTGTACTATTCTGTCCACAATGTAGAGCATGTAAAGTTTAAGCAAGTACATTGTTAGAGAACGATAATTATAGAAGAAACAGCTTCATAGATGCACTGCACCACATGAACCGCTTTCAAAACTGACATATTATGATTTTTGCGCGAGTGGTGATATTGAAAAAGAAATACTTTGTCAAAAAAAGTACTTATTAGTGCCGGCTTGAAATCAAAGGTGTCAGCTATTTTGAGGATTGATTCACAGATGACTGCATGAGACTTCACTACTCTGAACAAAAAGGTAAAGTAGATTTCTCAACCATGATGCTGCGAAAATTTACTGCCTCGTACAGACTTCATCACGATCGCAAATGCGTTTTCATTTCGCTCTACAGTCGTATCCTTCATCTCGATTCATACGCTTCATTCTTACGAACCGATATGATCAAACGTGGAATACAATTTTCGAGATAAATCTTAGATTTAGCCGAAGTCAATCTGTGACGGATATGTTCGTATCTGCAAACTATTTTGTACAGAAAATATATCTACACAAACAGATTTTGCACTGATATACATGAGCTGATGCCGATGAGAGTATAGTGTATACATTAGCATATACACTCGCGAACAAAATCCGCTACCAAACTTTTACATATCTTGACAATAGACTTAAGTATCTACGATGGTATATTTACATACATAATTTGTCACGTATATGCATAGGTATATATATATTCATGTTTTCAAAATTATCATAAAATGTAAAGCTTTGAACCTAACACTGAAACTTGCCACATTGAATAGAGTATATATTTACTTTGCGAACAAAAATGGGTGATAGGTCGCATTTTCTTTTTTTTATATGTATGAATCTGTTGACCCATATTTCTTGCTGGATATTTTATATTGACATGCAACTACTATTTTAGTATATATTACATGTCCTCCTCCTCCTATTTTGAAAACATATTTACCTTTTGGGCTTTGGCAAAGACCATAATATCTAGATTTTAGCCTCCTGACGATCTAACAGAATGATATTTATGGTTGCGACTTGGAAAATATACCAGCTGCTTATAATTATGAGAGATTCGACAATGGCGAAGAAGGATTCACCACTGGGTAAAAAATGAACAAGGAAACAATGAGTTGCGACTCTGTGAAGAGTTGTGACCGTTTTGCGACATGTATTTTATTTAGCCTAGGATTTGTGACCGCTTATCGCTCCGATCTCCATTTTCAATTTTGACATCTTCACGAATATTTATGCAGTGCTTTATTTTCGTCTTTTTGCATAGCCTACTACTACTAAATAAAACACTTTTTGTTTCGTTTATTTTTGTTTTATAAAAAACAACACCAACCAAAAAGCAAAACTCCTTTTTTGAGCCTATTTTGATGATAAAGTTTGGCTTTTTTTTATTAAATATGAATTTGAGCATGCCTAAGGCCTGACCGGCTGACCCTCATTTCTGGTAAATAAATATTTATACCTCTATGGAGTCGTCCAAAATATCTTAGATTCGTATTTACAAAACCCAATTTGATCCTGTAAAAAACAAAACAACAAAAAATCCACTCAACAGCCAACAGTCATGAGTCAACACACAACACTGCCAATGACACAGTGACAAATGGACCATGGCCTAACCATTTTGATTGTGTTGTATTTTTAGAAAGCACTACGTATGGTGAATATATATTTTTTAGGGGACTAAATAGAGGAAAAGTATTTAATCTTTGTGTTTTTATATAAAAAACCAAACAAAAAACCGAATGTACATAAAAACAACCCGATATTTTTTTGTAAAAAAGGGGGGTCTAAAGAAGGCTAAATATTTATAAAAAAACCTAAACGCTTTTATTATTTCATCACTTTTATACGTTTTTTTTTCAGGTCAATATACAAAGCAAATCGACCTAAATATTTAGTATTTATTTGTACACTAAACGGACGCCTTCGCAATGTTCCCGAAACTATGAACCTTAAGGCCCCGGAACTGCACCCATGGCGACAATCATAGGGCCATCTTGTTATAATCGTTTAACGGAAATATATATTCCTTGAAATGTACAATTTATTAGGAGGCTATGCCGCTATGATTGAAAGCAATACGTATGTAAAACGTATTGAGGCCGAGGGTTTGGCGAGTTGGTGTACGAGTCTATGACTCATTATGATATTTTATTAACGAGAGTGGCTTTAAACAGAGTGAGTGAGACTGGTCAGTGGTCACTGGCCTGCCTGAGAGTGCAGCCGGCAGCGTATATGTCAATAATCTGACTCGGAGCGGGTATTAAGCCAACTTTTTATAGGTACATTCAGTTCAACTTTTATGAACGAAGTATAGAGGCAGAAGTCTTTCACCTGTAACTTGTATAAAGAATCAATTGAGAACTTCCAGGGAAGTATATTTAGAAACGGGCAACAAGACTCACTCACAACATGGGCGGGTAAGCTAACTGTTGTCGCACGAATTTCAGATAGCAAATCAGAACCCTTTTGCGCTTCTTTGCCTGCATTTCTAATTGTTGAATATTCAACGCCAAATAGTTCAACCTAAAAGCAGTCATTGAATCAGTATTTTTATACATCCGTATTGCTGTTCTATATCATATCCTTCCTACTTGCTCGCTACGATCTTTGTGATCTTATAGACTCTTGTCTATCTTTCCATGTATTCATCGACTATACACATAAATACATTGATATATATATATATATATATGTATACATACATACATACACACACAT